CCCACAATGCAGCCAAAATTTTACCCTTTCTATCTACATTCTCAGCCACACAGAGCAACTCTTAGCTGTTTACAAGGCTAGTCCAAAAAATACCAAGGTAAAATTGTTCCTCTCTGGATAAAGTCAATCCTTTAAGGCTCACTGCCCAAAGACAAAGTAACTTCGTGAATGCTGGAAGTTGTAGTTCTTGGGAAATACCAATCCACATATTCAGTTCCTAACACCACACTGGATGTGCCTGATCACATCTGGGAAAGAGGTACCCAGGCAGGAAGTACGTCAGGATGCTCGCTTGCCCCTGATGGATTTTCTCTATGACCGTTTGATGTCAGTCTCCCCTGCTACCATGGAAACCATGGAACTAGGAACGGTGTCTCTTCTGCACTCAGTTTACCCAGCATTCAGCATTGTCTGACTGACAAATCCTGCATATTCTTATACTTCTCAAGGCTCAGATGGCTCCGTGAGAAAAGTCCCTGGCCACCAAGCTTAATGACCTAAATTTGATTCCAAGGCCCACATGGTAGAAGGAGAGAAAGGAATAGAAGAAGTTGGAGACCCTGTTCACATGTAATGATGGCCCTAGGTCGTGGCCAGTGCACGTGATCATGAGACTAGAGAGGCACAGGGACAGAGGGAGGCAGCACAGCCAGATGTAAGGGATTTCACACAATTAAAGAGAATCTTTACCTTTCTGAGACAGGGCTACGCCTTAAATTAATTTTGCTTATTATTATTATTTGGTGTGTGTGTGTGTGTGTGTGTGTGTGCGTGTGTGTGTGTGTGCAGCATACATGCCCCATGCCATGGCACATATGTAGAGGTCAGGGGACAACTTTCCAAAGATCCAAAGATCCAAAGATCGTCTCCCTTCACCCTATATATGTTCTGGGAATGAAACTCAGGCCATCAGACTTGCACAGCAAATGCTTAAATACATCAAGCCATCTTACCAGCAGGCTCCTCAGACAGGGTTCCATGTAGCTCAGGCTGGCCTCAAACTCCCTATGTTTCCAACATTAATGGCCTGAATTCCTGATCTTTCTCCCTCTCTCTCCAAAAGCTGAGATTATGGGCTTATACCACCAAGGCTGAGAGGGATATGGATGACTTGATTAAAGAGTCAATAAAAGTCAGCCTTAATTTTGGTATGGAGGCTGGAACATCAGCATTCATAAGGCTGATAAAGGGAGATGGGCATGAGTTTGACACCGGCCTGGGCTATGCAGTAAGTTCCAAGCCAGCCTGGCTACAGAATGAGAACTTTTTCTTTTCTTTTAGAGATCTGTTTTTTCCCTCCAGTGACATATCTCCCCAAAACTCACATCTACGCCCCTTTCCAGTTCCGCACAACACTGGAATTGTCTGCAGGCATTGGGGTTAGTGTGTGTAGCTGAGAGCCCAGCTATTGGGCTAGACAGCTTTCCAGTCCAAGGTACAGAACCCAGGCCTTGATCATTCTGGGCAAGCACTCAAGTGCTCCATTCCAGCCCCAGCCCCAGCCCAGATTTGGTCCATGAGCTATTGCTTCAGTATTCAGCTACAGCCAGGGATTCACTATCCAGCTACAGCCAGGGATTCACT